GTTTCAACTGTTTTTGGGTGAATTAAGAAAGGGCACAGAATTACAAAACTAACCTTATGAGAAACGATTATTTACAATTATATTTTATATTTTTTAAATCAATTAAGAAAGGGCACAGAATTTTATGAAAATCGATTCGTATCTGTAGTTTTGGTAATTTAGACTGATTAATTATGATCAATTAATTGGGGATAATTTAGGAAATTTTATGCAAAAGTTGTTAAAATGACAACTAATTAAAAACACAGAAAAAATGCTAGAACGACATTTATTCAAATACGGAGGGAGTATTAAGCTAAGAGTTAAACTTTACAAATAAATATACAAATAAATCTAAAATAAAAACATGAATGAATTCAACTTCAACCTAATAACTATATCTCTCGTTACTTTAGGATTTTTCCTATTTTCTTCTTTTTATAATCACCATTATCCATTGAAAATCACTTTAAAATAACATTTAGGTAAAACTTTATATATATTTTAATTTGAACTAAAATGTTTTGATGATTTTGCTCGTATATTAAGAAAAATCTCATCTTTTGATTTATTGACTTTTAAAACTATTATTGATTTTTTTTCTATGAATATTGTGAAAACGACTTCGTATAATCGTCTCGTTGATATCATTTCAATGATTGTTTAGTTTTTCAATTGAAAATATAAGCTAAATTGTGGCAAACGAGACAATAATAAATCGATTACAATATATAGTATAGTTGTGATGATATTTTTATTTTTTTCTAATAAAGTTGATATAATTTTGTATATACAAAAAAAAATTTGACCCCTATAAACAATTTTTTTGGCTCCGTCACTGACTATACATATTTAGACTTGGTTAGGTCATGGTTTAATAATCACAGCCACCCAAAACAACAACAAACACGAGCCATGGGACAAGGGTTTGGCCAATTACCTTTCTCGGCAAGTTTCCACGATGGATCTGCTCTACGATCTGCTTGACGGCTTGAACGACGGAGTGGCACAGATCTCTCCGGTGAGGACGATTCACGCAGTGGCTCCGGCTGAACACAACAATGATCTCAGGTGGTTTGAGTGGTGCGTGGTTGACGAGTTAGGATTTATGTGACTTGACGTGGAGTTTGCGTTCTCCTTTTATATGCACATGTGATCACTAGGTTTTCACTTGGTTTTAAATCATTAACGAGCTCGGTTTGGGCTTCTTGATTTGATTGCGAAACCGGGTCGTTACAGAAGTGGTATGAATTGAAGAAGTGTAAGGATGAGGAGGAGATGAGCAATACCTCTGCTGATCAAGGCGTGGATGGCGGGGACGAGGTGCCGTGTATGGCTCGGGAACAGCTCTTGAACACTTGGTGTTTTATGCAATCCCACGATCAGTTGTCGGTCGACACTTGCTTTGTAGCAGCGAGCTCAAGCTCGTCCTCTGTATCTAATTCTTCCCAAACGTCGTCTCCATCTCGAACTAGAATAGCATTACAGGCTCTTTTTGGATTAGTATCAGGCATGCCAGGAAGAACACCATCTTGTCTCTTAACAGCTGCGGTAATTTGAGCAAATTGAACATCGAGTTTCTTCATGTGATTGTTCAAAGTGTCAATCTTGCCATTCAAATCAGAATAGATGGCATCAAACTTCTCGTTGAACACAACTGTAAGCTTCGTCTGATCCTCTAGAATCTTCTCAAGCATTGTCTCCATCTTACTCTCAGGAGTGGGTGTAGGGGGTTTTGGTAGGTTGTGTTCCCTTAGGTTCTCTGGAAGCTACTACTTTGTGGATATGTCTTCTGAAACGCTGGTCTGTTGTTAAAATTATTGTTGTTCAGAATTCTCTGTAAGCCGCTGACCACCGAAGTTACCCTGTTGAGTACTGAATTTTCGATATCCCTGGCCATCAATGTAGAATACTCCTTCCTCAGACTCTTCTTTTGGCAAAGTGAACAGCTTTGTTACCCGTGAGGAGGCTGTGAACTGAATCCAACTTGGTATTGACCTCTGCAAACTGACTTGCTGTAATCGCTCTTGCAATCTTCTTCCTTTCGAAGTCTGCGTTCTTCGTGCTGTTGCAACAGGCAAGAATCTCAATCAAAGCTACAGCATCTGCAGGGTACCTAGTGTTAAAGTTACTATTGCTTGCACCATCTAGAGCCATCTGATATCTCCAATCAACTCCTCTGAAAAATGTACCGATGAGCTGAACCTCACTGAAACCGTGATGCGGGCAATCGCATTGGTACTCCTTGAATCTGACCCAACCAGCTTTAAATGCTTATGCTGGTCATTGAGTGAATATAGATAGCTTGTTGCAAAATTCTTCAGACTTACCATCATCATAGAAGTTGTTTAAAAAGAGTACCTTGATTTTCCTCCAGCTAGTCAAGGGCCCTGCCTTCAACTGCTTCAGCCAAGAACAAGTGAGTATGGGAAGAGCTTGCAGAGAAGGTAGTCATCTGAAACTCCATTAGCCTTTATGCTAGATACCAAATCCTCAAAGCGCTCGATATGGTCCATTGGTTGTCATGAGATAAGCCATAGAAAGGATGTTGTCCCACAAGAGTGAAGTAGGGCGGTTTTAGCTCGAAATCGTTTCTCTTGAATGGGGGAGGTACGGCCAAAATCAACCCCAACTATTTTCATGCGGTCTTTTTCAACCCAAAGTCTGACCCCCTGCAGTTATCAATCCAAACCCTCATAAATTTCAAATAACAAACCTGAACTATGTAACTATTAGCCAATTTTAACATATACATGTTATTATCTAATATAACAAACATGAATTATGTAACCTTTAACCAATTGAATAAAATGAATGATTCATATACAAAAAAACTGATAATTACGACTTAACAATTCTAATCGACATTAACAAATACTAAAAAAAATATGTTGAAATTGGCTAACGGTTACGTAGTTCATGTTTGTTATTTGAAATTTATGTGGGTTTGGGTTGATAAGTGCAGGGGGTCAGAGTTTGGGTTGAAAAAAGCCGCATGGAAATAGTTGGGGTTGATTTTGGCCGTTTTCCCCAGGTTTGGCCTATTGTAATCCCCAAGAGTCAGCTGACGATCTACCGCAACAGGCGGTTGATGGAGGTCCTTTTGGCCATCTCTATTATGCACATCTGCCCATGTTCAAAAAATCGCTAGGCGCTAGCGCCTAGCAAGAAAATCGGAGATTAAACGGGGATTAATCGGGGACTAGTTTTAAGGCTATTTAATATTTTAGAAACATATTAATCCATTATAAATAAGAAAATTATATCATATTATTTTTTATATTGCACTAAACACATGAAAACAAGAATTTAAGGTCAAACTTATGATTTTTATACAAATTGTGAACATAAGTGGGACGTTTTGAATTTTAGATCCAGAAAAAAAAATGAAAAAAAAAAAAAAATTGGGCTAAGCGTCGTATAGGCGGGCTAGCCGGACGCCTAGGCGGTCTAGGCGGACAAAAATTGGATCACCGATTTGGACAAAATTGCCGCAGTCTCCACCCGATCAGCGCCTAGGCGGCTAGACGGCCGATTTTTGAAATCATTATGATTTTTCAAGGCTTTATAAATCTTATATAGATTTTCAAATCAATTAAAATACGCAAACCAATAGTTTCCTAGGTCTTAAGATTTGTTTTAAAGATCTTTTCCTTTTGTCCAAAAAACAATATCTCTTCCTTTTTTTTTTGCCCTTAAAACATTTTTTAAAATTGATTATTGACCATTTTTGTTATTTTTTGTTTTGTTAAGAAAATATATTCTTATAGAATTTATGGATTATGAAAAATTCTTTAAGAAGATGATTTTTCATTCAAGATTATCTACTGCAATATAAATTAAGTACATCATCTAGATATCTATTTTATGTATGTTCAAACTCTGTAATAATTTATCTTTATTATATGTATATATGTTTTTCATACATATATGATATAACATTCTTTTTATTTGTCTGGATTTATTATTTATTGCAAATTATGAGAACTGTTACATAAACGATTTTACAATGGACAATTCTTTCCGACCCTTATTAGATCCACGACCTCCTTCACTTCATTCACTTCATTCTTCATGCTCACCTCCTTCACCTCCTTCTTCATGGTTTTGATCGACATTTACTTCTCTGTGTAGAATCCTGGCGAACGGCTATAATTGTACATCGCTAGAGATTTCCAGACCTTTAGATGTAAAAATATTAATTAACATTTGGTCAACTAATGGGACAAGTGGGCTTCCACATATGATATAACATTCAAGAAAATATAATGCTAATATTTGTAAAGTAAATTTTTCCCACGTAAGATATACGTGTGGGTAATTATTAGTAGTAACATTAATCTCAAACAACTAGAAGAACATCTCAAACAATAAAAAAACATTGATCTCAAGAAAAAGAAAGAATAGTACGGTCAACTGATCATGGATACAAATTATTAAAATTAGCACTAAAAGAATCTCCATTGGAATTCCTTTAACTGATATTATTGTTTTCAAAATTCTTGAGAATCTCTGATACTGACACATGTCTTTCTATTATATATCAATTAAATAGTTTTATATGTTGATATATTTATTTTATAAATCATAAAATAAAACTGTCTTTATATCGAAATCTATTATGCATCAGTTTTAATAGATATAAATATTAGTTTAACTGATATTGATGAAGGTAAAAAAGAAATTTTAAACTAATATCGTTTGATTTGTAATTTGATATATTTTAAAATAGTTTATACAAAGAATATGTTTAAGATTAATATATTTAAAAATAATTAATGAAAATTTAATATTAAAAATTTTAGATTAAATAGTATTTAAAATATTAATATTATCTTAATAAGATAGCATATAAATATGTCACCAATAGAGATGCTCTAAAAGTCTATAACGCAGGTCTCTTTTTTATACAAGTCCTAAAGTTTTGTGTAACAAGGACAATTCTTCAGTTGAAGTGTAACTATACTTTCAACAAACAAACAAAAAAACTTGTAACTAGACTTCTAAATCCTAACTTAAAATAAATAAATAAATAAAAGAAAAAAGAAAAATTGAATAATAAATTTAATTCTAAAGATATATGTATTTCTTTCCATTTACTTATTACCAATTCTGATATTGCTAAAAAGGTATGATATATATATATGTTTGAACTGAGATAAATTTTCCTTACTTCAAACAATCAGGTCTTCTATATAAAGAGCACTTCTCCATTCAAAAAATATCACACAAAAAAAAAGTCATGACGAGACAGAAAGTGAAAATGGCTTTCATAGAAAATGAAACAGCAAGAAAATCAACATTCAAGAAAAGAAAGAAAGGTGTTTTGAAGAAAGCTCACGAGTTGGGAACTCTTTGTGGCGTCCCGATCTGTGTTATCATCAACAGTGCGTACGAGCAGAACCCGGAGGTGTGGCCATCGAGAGAGGCGGCGAACAAGGTTGTGTCCCAATGGAAGACGATGTCGGTGATGGACAAGACCAAGAAGATGGTGAACCAGGAGACCTTTCTCCAGCAGAGGATCACCAAAGCAACCGAGTCTTGGAAGAAGTTGTGGAAAGAGAACAAAGAGTTGGAGATGAAGAACGTTATGTTTGATTGTCTTAGTGGCAAAACTTTGGTTTCTCGTATCGAAAAAAGTGAGCTTCGAGATTTTGTTTATGTCATTGAACAATATCTCAAAGATGTTATTCATAGGATCGAGATTCTGAAGAGGAACGAGGAATCATCTTCCGCTCTTGTTCCTGTTGCTGCCACTACAACATCTAGTGTCATGCCTGTGGTCGAGATGGGTTCTTCTTCGGTTGGATTTTACGATAAGATTCGAGATCAAATTCAAAGTACTTTGAATATGAAACAGACCACTAATGATTTGGATCTGAACAAGAAACAGTGGTGATGAGCCGTCTTTGATCGTATGTTAAGTTTTTGTCATTTCAGCTATCAATAAAAAGTTATTATTTGAGTTCTGTTTGTTTTAGTTACATGTTTGGGTTGGTTTCACATGTAGTTGTATTTCCTCATGAATGAAATTTATTTTTCTCTAATTAATTAATGTTTTCTCCTTATATATAATCGTTATGATAAAATTCAATTTTGTAATTCAATTTTAGATCCATCACTTTGCGACAGCCAAGTTCGTTCATGATTTAAGAGGTTTAAGTGTGTATAAAACGTGATTTAAGACTCTGATATGATGATTGGGACCGCGGCATCGATGACCGGTCCGAAAGATTTTAATCAACGAATCTTGAAGTCACGAGTTAGGTTTATGAGAGACGATTAGAGCTTTTGCGATTTTTATTAATTGCGAGTTTTAGATTTTTTATATTGTTCAAGATTTTTTTAATTCAATGAAGGAAAATAATCTTAGAATATAATATATATAATTATTTACAGGGTTGTCAACTAATTCGTTTTGAGCAAACAAATCATCAATCTTTTAATTGATTTTCCCAAATTAATAGTAATCAAACTCAACACTCCATAAGTTTGAATAACAAATGAACTAATTAAGATCAAGTAAACCTAAATAAAAATCTATTTGCCAAAACGTATAAGTTGAAAACTGTTTTTGGCAGACAAAATATTGAGATTTTTTATTGGCCAAATTGCGTAAGTTAGGATTTTTTAAGGCCAAATTGAGTAAATTGGGATTTTTATTGGCCAAAATGCGTATAATTTATTTTGCCAAATCAGAGCCAATAGTAATCAAACTTAACAATCCATTAAGTTTGAATAACATTGAAATAAACGAGGTCAAGTAAACCTAAATAAGAATTTATTTGCCAAAACATATAAGTTGAAAACTATTTCTGGAAGTCAAAATACTGAGATATTTATTGGCCAAATTACGTAAGTTAGGATTTGTATTGGGCCAAATTGCGTAAGTTGGGATTTTGCCTAAGTAAGGATTTGTATTGGCAAAAATGCGTATAATTGATTTTGCCAAATTAGAGCCAACAATAATCAAACTTAATCTATATCTATATTATATATACATTTTTGCAACATTTTATGAAATAAATCCTCAAATTGCAACTTATTTACAAAGAATGCCATTGGCATTAATTATTATCAATTAATTAAGATTCTTAATTACTAGCATTTCTTTATCTAATATATTTCCATCAATTCTAACTACTTAAGAAAAGGAGAAATTTTAGGACATTGTTAATATTATACTTTATTGAAAGATAAATATTATAGTTATTTAAAGTTTATTAAACGTTTAAAATATTTAACGGAAAAAATGTTTAGAATATATATAATATGTGAAATCTATAAAAATTAAATAATCATTTGAAATAAAACTTTAAATTGATTTGAATTATAAATGTTTTAATAAAATTATTATTCAAACAAAAACTAATGTTTAATTTCACCGAACAGGATTAGATGGTATGACGGATTTATAATATTATAATATATGAAATTTACAACAATTAAATAACTATTTGAAAGAAAACTTTTAAATTGATATGAATTATATATCTTTTAAATCAAAGTATTATTAAAACAAAAATAAGAAAATAATGTTTAATTTCACTGAACAGGGTTAGATGGTATGACGGGTTTAGGTCGATAGTAATACGAGACGGTATACCACGGGTGAAATCCATTAGATATGTTTAATTTCACTGAACAGTATTAGATGGTAGGACAGGTTTGGGTCGATAGTAATACGAGACTGTATACTACGGGTGAAATCCTAGATATAACAATCAAAATAAAATTATACTATCTTAAACACTAAACAAAACAAACAATTTTAACAAAATAAATATAATTTAAATTTAAATTATATAGTTATAATCTAGATTTTAACTTAATGAACTGTATGTTATTGTTTCTATATTTTTAAACAGTAAAAATTAAACATAGTAATTGTACACTAAAAATATATAGATATAAGAATTGTACATTTAAAAAATACAAAACATTAAATCATATATATTTTTAATCTACTAATCAAATTAAATTTTTATTTTTTAAAAAAAATATAGTTAAAAAAAATTATAGTCCCGCGGTGTACCGCGGGTTATAATCTAGTACTCCATTAAGTTTGAATAACATTGAACTAATTGAGGTAGATTAAACCTAAATAAGAATTTATTCGCCAAAACAAATAAGTTGATAACTATTTTTGGCAGTAAAAATATTGAGATATTTTATTGGCCAAATTGCGTAAGTTTGGATTGTTACCGGCCAAATTCCGTAAGTTGGGATTTTTACTGGCCAAAATGCATAAGTTGAGATATTTTAGGAGGGGTTATTGGTTCATAGATTTATATGGAATTAGAAATCCAAACAAAAATCATTTGTTATTCAATCATTGATTTTAAAATCCTAATTAAATTCATGTGTTATTGGTTCTATGATTTATAAATACTAGTTAAAATCTTATGTTATTCGTTTAGTCATTTGTTTTTGGATTTGAGAATCCAAATTATGTTTTAAATGGAATTGAATGGAATTGAAAGAGAAAAATAGAAGGATTCAAATCCATGGGTAAACACATGTTATTTCAAAATCCATATATCTTGATTTCATAATTAATAGAAATTTTCAAATTCTATATGGATTTACAAATTAACAAACTAATAACACCCCCTTAACCTTTTCCCATTTGATATATAGTTAGTTGCTATAAAAATAGTTCTATTTTAAAATTATAATAAAGGACAACTGTAATCTGTAAATATAAAGTTTAATCAGTAAAATATACCCAAAGTTTTGAATAACCAAAAAAAATCTTACTTGGAGTTGGTAACTATTTTATAAATAAATAAAAACTTGTACTAGACTCCTTAATTGCTATCTAAAAAATAATAATCCATGATCGAATGGTAAACTTACTTTGTCAAAATAATATACTCTATTTGTTTCATATTATAGAATGTTTGACATATTTTATTTTGTTTTACAATATAAGATTTTTTTAAAAATAATTTAACTATATATAATTATTAAAAAATTCATCAACTTATTCATTTTGACCACCTAAATCATCATTTTTAATTGATTTTTCCAAATTAGAGACAACGGTAGTCAAACTTAACGCTCCATTAAATTTAAATTATATTGAATTAATTCAGGTCAAGTAGATCTAATTAAGAAGTAATTCGCCAAAACATTGAAGTTGATAATGATTTTCGGAAAGAGAAAAAATTAGATTTTAATTTGCCAAATTACTTAAGATGGGAATTTTTACTGGCCAAAGCGCGTATGTTGAGATTTTTTTACTTTGCCCATTTAACTAAGGATAATATAGTTAATTTCTATAAACATAACTTTATTTGTAAAGGTAAACTTTATTTTTGCAAAATATAAAGTTTAATCAGTAAACTATATATACCCAAAGTTTTGTGTAACAAAAGATAATCATAGTTGGATTAGGTAACTATACTTCTTATAAATAAATAAAAACCTTGTAACTAGACTCAATAATTGCTATCTAAAAAAAATTAATCCACTTGAACAGGTAAATTTACTTTGTCAAAAACAATAATCATCATTACAAAAACAATAACGATGTTTAAGAGATTTTAATTTGTTTCACAATATAAAATGTTTTGGGAAAAATAAATATCTATAACTTTTTTAAAGGTCTTCGATTTATTATCATCATTTTAATTAATTTTTCCGCATTAGAACCAACGATAATCAAACTTAACACTCAATTAAATTTAAAACTCCCTCCGTTCTTTTATAAGTGAAGTTTTAGGAGAATGCATATAGATTAAGAAATTATTTAATTTTTATTTATTTTTAAATTAAAACATCATTTATTATCTAATCAACCAATGAAAAAACAATCTACATAATCTAAATCGTCAAAACCAATAAAAAAAAAGTAATTAATTTTGTATTGAAAATTAAAAACATCATCTATTTAAGAACAAAATTAGAAGCTTAAAACATCACTTATAAAATAAGGGAGGGAGTAACATTGAGCTAATTGAGGTCAACTAAACGTAAATAATAACTTATTCACAAGAAACAATATGTCAAAGAAACAAAGTTCATAACCTTACTTGTTTTGACTAAATAAGTCATCAATTTGGTATTGATTTTTGCCAACGGTAGTCAAACTTAACACTCCTTTAAATTAAAATTTGAATAATACTGAAACTATTTCAACCAAGTAAAGGTACATAAGAATTAAGACTGATGCGCCAAAACAAATAAGTTGAAATTATTTTCGCCAGTAAAAATTAAAAAATGAAATTTTTATTGTTCAAAACGTGTAATTTTTTTTGAATTTTTCCCATTTAACTAAGGTTTTTTTTTGTTACTATAAATAATTCTATTTTGGAATTATAGAAAGGAACGACTTTGTGGTTAATAATCATATAATGTTAATGATAATTTACTGTAATTTTTGTTTCTGAGTTTCAGCTATTTTCAATCAATTTATTTTCTTTAATTACATTTGTTTTAAAAGTACTATAATTTTCTAACCAGAATAAATATTTGTATTAGCTACATACGCATTCATATAATTTATAAATACAAAAGATAAGATTTAATCATGCATATGGTGCATATAGGAGTGTTAAAGTGGATTTAAATCTATGGGTTAACCCAATCCAACTACAACCCATGAATCCATTGAGCTGGAAATTTGAGTCTTAATGAGTTAATGAGTCAAAATAGTTATGAGTTTTATAAGTTGGGTTGTAATGAGTTGGGTTAAAATGAGTTGATGAGTTCACAAAAGAACGAACGATCACAAATTAATCTATTTTGAAAACCAAACCAAACCGAGCATAATCTCAATTTATTGTGTATACTGAATATAATGATGATGATGATTATTGTAACACATGTCCCGCTATACAGGTCAAGATAGCATGTTATTCATCCGATCTTGCCAAAACGTTTTCTTTAAACTTCATACACGAGCAAAACATTGCACACAACTCCTGAAGCTTACTCACCTAAGGAAAAAAAAAAAAAAAAGGGTGAGCAAAAAATACTCAGTGAGGGGAATCAACTCTGCTCACTGAAACATATAACACTTTCTAAAGCTATACAACCATCA